ATATAGGTAAAAGTATACCCGTGTGTACTAAATTATACCTGTTAAGGGGCACATATGTACATACTAAAATGTATATAGGTAATAAATGTACAGAAATGTACAACATATACATTCCAAGTATACATGTATACACATACATGCAATTATATATTATAATACAGCATATTATGTCATATATACGTGTAGGTACATATATTACATTTACCTCTGTGCATACACACTTATGTAATTATATTATAAAGAAAGGTTCTATATATACAGCGTTTATCATAGATACAATGTACATGTACGGAATTGCAATGTACAATTATGTAGAATTTACAGTATATAACATACTTGTACATACTGCAATAGTATACATTCATAGTACTTGAATATTACATAAGTATTACATAGCAGGTACCCGAGAATTCCCATGGTAAACACATTATCATATAGACGTGTAAACAATATGTAACCAACATTTGATGCATGTACACTCATTTAGATCATGATCTAACAGTTGTATAAGTAGTGCCTTTACCTACTCTCCTAATAGATGTTTATATATACGTGTAGATTAACATAGTATTGTATCGATGCCCTTGGGTAAATGAAAATTGACAAGCATGTACAATTTAATGAAATTATTGATTTTTATATGTTGACTAATGTTGACAAGCAACAAAAGGTTTGTGTATTTCATATAATACAAATGTAGTCCCACTCAAACGATTCGTTAAACAAATTAATGAAGAAACCATTACGCTAAATGAACTACAATATTGTTGAGTACTGCTTCAAGACACCGGCTATTTTGACTGTAAAATTAACGTGTATATATACCATCACGAAATATTTGCTCAACTCCTTTTCTACATAACTGTTCCATATAAATCACATCTTGAGGTGCATTTTAAAGAATTATATGCGTTCGAAATTGTAGTATTTGAGACAAGAAATACAAAAAGCAAAAACTACAAAGATCGTGCTCGGTACGTACACATACGTTTCATGTCAATCCTACACTTTTCCTATATTTCTATGCAGGAATTATAAATGCATAGCATCAAAATGAGAGGTGAAAACATTGACAAGGGAAGTAACTCTATGCTTGAAAAATATTTTTTTATTGCTATACTCCAAATCAAAAACAAATATTCTTTTCAATTTCGACCGTTGCATTAATTGGAACACTTAAAATTAAACCTACTCTAACAATAGTTTTAATAGTAGTAGTGTTGTAGACAGTATAGTAGTGTTGTAGACAGTATAGTAGTAGTTGTATGTGTAGACAGTATAGTAGTAGTGTTGTAGACAGTCTAATAGTAGTTGTATGTGTAGACAGTATAGTAGTAGTTGTAGACAGTATAGTAGTAGTTGTAGACAGTATAATAGTAGTGTTGTAGACAGTATAGTAGTAGTTGTATGTGTAGACAGTATAGAAGTAGTGTTGTAGACAGTATAGTAGTAGTTGTATGTATAGACAGTATAGTAGTATAGTGTTGTAGACAGTATAGTAGTAATGTTGTAGACAGTATAATAGTAGTTGTATGTGTAGACAGTATAGTAGTAGTTGTATGTGTAGACAGTAAAGTAGTAGTGTTGTAGACAGTATAGTAGTAGTTGTATGTGTAGATAGTATAGTAGTAGTGTTGTAGACAGTATAGTAGTAGTTGTATGTGTAGACAGTTTAGTAGTAGTTGTATGTGTAGACAGTATAGTAGTAGTTGTATGTGTGGACAGTATAGTAGTAGTTGTATGTGTAGACAGTATAATAGTAGTGTTGTAGACAGTATAGTAGTATAGTGTTGTAGACAGTATAGTAGTAGTGTTGTATACAGTATAGTAGTAGTAGTTGTAGACAGTATAGTAGGAGTAGTTGTAGACAGTATAGTAGTAGTGTTGTAGACAGTATAATAGTAGTAGTATGTGTAGACAGTATAGTAGTAGTTGTATGTGTGGACAGTATAGTAGTAGTTGTATGTGTAGACAGTTTAGTAGTAGTTGTATGTGTAGACAGTATAGTAGTAGTTGTAGACAGTATAGAAGTAGTGTTGTAGACAGAATAGTAGTAGTTGTAGACAGTATAGTAGTAGTGTTGTCGACAGTATAGTAGTAGTTGTATGTGTAGACAGTATAGAAGTAGTGTTGTAGACAGTATAGTAGTAGTTGTATTTGTGTAGACAGTATAGTCGTAGTATTGTAGACAGTATAGTAGTAGTGTTGTAGACAGTATACTAGTAGTTGTATGTGTAGACAGTATAGTAGTAGTTGTAGACAGTATAGTAGTATAGTGTTGTAGACAGTATAGTAGTATAGTGTTGTAGACAGTATAGTAGTATAGTGTTGTAGACAGTATAGTAGTAGTTGTAGACAGTATAGTAGTATAGTGTTGTAGACAGTATAGTAGTAATGTTGTAGACAGTATAATAGTAGTTGTATGTGTAGACAGTATAGTAGTAGTGTTATGTGTAGACAGTATAGTAGTAGTTGTATGTGTGGACAGTATAGTAGTAGTTGTATGTGTAGACAGTTTAGTAGTAGTTGTATGTGTAGACAGTATAGTAGTAGTTGTATGTTTAGACAGTATAGTAGTAGTTGTATGTGTAGACAGTATAGAAGTAGTGTTGTAGACAGTATAGTAGTAGTTGTATTTGTGTAGACAGTATAGTCGTAGTATTGTAGACAGTATAGTAGTAGTGTTGTAGACAGTATAATAGTAGTAGTATGTGTAGACAGTATAGTAGTAGTTGTATGTTTAGACAGTATAGTAGTAGTTGTATGTGTAGACAGTATAATAGTAGTGTTGTAGACAGTATAGTAGTAGTTGTATTTGTGTAGGCAGTATAGTAGTAGTGTTGTAGACAGTATAGTAGGAGGTGTAGACAGTATAGTAGTAGTGTTGTAGACAGTATACTAGTAGTTGTATGTGTAGACAGTATAGTAGTAGTTGTAGACAGTATAATAGTAGTTGTAGACAGTATAGTAGTAGTGTTGTCGACAGTATAGTAGTAGTTGTATGTGTAGACAGTTTAGTAGTAGTTGTATGTGTAGACAGTATAGTAGTAGTTGTAGACAGTATAGTAGTATAGTGTTGTAGACAGTATAGTAGTAATGTTGTGGACAGTATAATAGTAGTTGTATGTGTAGACAGTATAGTAGTAGTTGTAGACAGTATAGTAGAAGTGTTGTAGACAGTATAGTAGTAGTTGTATGTGTAGACAGGATAGTAGTAGTTGTATGTGTAGACAGTATAGTAGTAGTGTTATGTGTAGACAGTATAGTAGTAGTTGTATGTGTGGACAGTATAGTAGTAGTTGTATGTGTAGACAGTATAGAAGTAGTGTTGTAGACAGTATAGTAGTAGTTGTATGCGTAGACAGTATAGTAGTAGTATTGTAGACGTATGTGTAGACAGTATAGTAGTAGTTGTATGTTTAGACAGTATAGTAGTAGTTGTATGTGTAGACAGTATAATAGTAGTGTTGTAGACAGTATAGTAGTAGTTGTATGCGTAGACAGAATAGTAGTAGTATTGTAGACAGTATAGTAGTATTGTAGTTGTAGACAGTATAGTAGTACAGTATAGTAGTAGTGTTGTAGACAGTATAGTAGTAGTTGTATGCGTAGACAGTATAGTAGTAGTATTGTAGACAGTATAGTAGTATTGTAGTTGTAGACAGTATAGTAGTAGTTGTATGTGTAGACAGTATAGTAGTAGTTGTAGTTGTAGACAGTATAGTAGTAGTTGTATGTGTAGACAGTATAGTAGTAGTGTTGTAGACAGTATAGTAGTAGTTGTATGTGTAGACAGTATAGTAGTAGTGTTGTAGACAGTATAGTAGTAGTTGTATGTGTAGACAGTATAGTAGTAGTGTTGTTGACAGTAAAGTAGTAGTTGTAGATAGTATAGTAGTAGTGTTGTAGACAGTATAGTAGTAGTTGTATGTGTAGACAGTATTGTAGTAGTGTTGTAGACAGTATAGTAGTAGTTGTATGTGTAGACAGTATAGTAGTAGGTGTAATAGTACATTTATCCCTCGTTCAGAATAACAATGTTAAAGAGCTTTACGGCTTACTGTCGTCGTGATCGCTATTAAAATTACAACACGCACGAGACAACATTGCTTACATAGCGATTTTAGATATGCTTACATGTGTAATTAGTCTATATACCTACAGGAAACAATGTACGTGGTTCCAAAATATGTCTCTAATCATGGATAAAGTCCTTATCTGTCCGAGATTGACATCGGCATTGTAAAACGGTTTTATGGTCTCATGCCCGTGTTGATCCCTATATGTGTAGGTACTCGGTTTAATCCTGATATTACACTACCGCTGACGTGCTGTTACAGCATGCCGACATTAAACTTATAATTAAGATTTAATTTCATGGCCGACACCGAGGAAGTCTTTACTGTAAACATTTGAGTGTTTACTTGTTGGCAGTGTTTACCTGTAAATAACATTGTACGCAACACACAGGGCGAGTTACATGTATACATTCATAATATGTCTTGAAACGTAATAGACCTCTAGGCACATTGATAGTTAACAGCATTAGAGATATTTATGATAATGACTGTTTACGATATTTCAAAGATAAACGTCAACATTTTTCTTTGTAAAAGAATACCTTTGGGCGCCTCATTTTTACCTTTCATTTGATAAGGTCGACGGATCGATACGGAAACTCCACAGATAGCTTAGTTAGAACAGCGGGTAAACGATACCAACGCTTAAATCATTGACAAACTGAAATACATTATGTTATTTGGGTTATTATACCTCCGACAGGTGTAAAAATCACAGGTGTGCACATACTATAGAAATACTGCTTTGTCAAGGTACAAAGTGGGAACTCCCTATCTTAGCTCAGGTGAGCTATTTATAGACAGGTATTTAAATATGGTGTCCCACACAAACACTCAACTGACCGGTAAAACGTTGTGTACAGGTGTAAATAAACCAGGTATATCTGGGTTATCCAAGTGTGTTAATTAGAAAAGTCTTACCTGTTTGTCTTTTATAATCCCAATATACTGATCGGGTCCTCCACCGTCCCGTCGGGATCCCATGTTTTAACTGTAACACACAAATATGTACACAAAAATGAAGTCAGTCATCTCGATATGACACATACAAGTTCACGCATGCGCAAAGTTCAAATAGAACTATCTGCTTCCGTATCACATGAAACGAACATTTTCACCTGTGGCGATTCATTAATCAATACACGAGTGGGAATACAAATAGGGGCGTCTGTATCTTGCGCATCTTCTGCAAAGGTCAAATACATATAATTTTAAAGGTGAACAATTGTGCGTTGATTAAATACTACAGGTAAACCGCAGCGCTGTCCCGGGGGTAAGAGGACTTTAAATGGTATTTCCTATACGTCATAAACACAGTTAACGGGAGCATTTAACACAGCACCACATCATTAACATTGAAGATGTAAGGCTACATGAATATTTGAAATAGTAACTCTACTTAATAAACTGTTTAACAATGCGGCAATATGTTACCTGTATTTCGTTAGCATGTCTTTTCTTTGTATTTGTCAACTCATGATCGGAGTTTGTAAATACCGGTAGTTGTGACAAAACCATTAACGTGTAAACCCCTTATCCTCTTTCTTGTGTGGAGTATATATGACTCCATGTTTATCAATTTAGAATTGTGAAATAGCAGCTGCTAAATATGCAATATCAAAATACATAAGCACACCACATATAAAATAATGTACAATTCAATATGCGAGCAAACTGCACCCCGGTTTAAGCAGCATGTTTCCTCGTTATTACATATCTAAATGGGTCATACAGGGGTCAAACAGTTGTTAATTTTATACCGTATCAGTGAACACTAAATACATCCTATTCAACATTACCTGTATTTGTTAACAGTTGGTGTAAACACAGGTAAATGAAGTTGATAACATGCATTCCTTCTCAGTGACAGGTAAAATGTACATCTTGTAGGCGTAACAGAGGTGTAAGTTAGTCATGCTGTATACGCCCCCTAACACAGATAAGATTAACAGCATTTAGGGGTTCAGGAAGACATCAACAACCGGTAGGGGGCCGGGTGACAAATGGGTAGATTTGGGGCGTGTCCCGTTTAAAGTACATCCGAACCCAAATAACGCTTATGGTCTCTATGTAATAAGATCTAATAGTTATAAAGGAATGTGATTTTATATCATATCAATGTGCTTTCAATTCGAGTTTGTTTCCAATATATTGAGAATTATATATGTTCACGTGAATATTACGTCATAAAACATCCTGATCAGTGTTTGTTCATAACTGCAGATTATTATAAATAAAACACACTACAACAAAATAAAACACACTAGCACAAATTGCAATATACTGCTCAGTACACTTTAATATTTCCGCAAAGTACAAGTCCATAATAATATCAAAATTCAAAGCAATTTGTGTCGTGGTTTAAATATTTAATATTTTTTAATTAGGAAATTAGTTAATTATGTAAATGTTCTAATTTATAGATGTTAACAAATGTACTGAAATATTATACAGATATCGGACAGCTGGTAGATGATAATCGCAGGTACTCGACGCTATAATATTCAAAATATATTGCTTACACCATCACCTTTGTCATTTCTAAATACTTCAGAATTCAGAAATGAGAATATCCTTAAATAAAAAAAAAAATGAAAAAAACCCGAATTAGGTCATATCATTGCGATGAGTCCCTTTGGACCAATGAAACAGGATATTCAGAAAAAAGACTCCTTATAGATATAACAAATAAAACCGATCAACCAAAATTTAAAAAATGAAAAGTTAAAAATGATATCATAACAGACAAACTATTTAGCATAAAACCATCAGACCATGAAAAAGATGTTAAAGATATTACAAAACATTATTAAATTATATATGCAATATATATGTATAATGCAGACGAGTCACACAGAGCTAAAACGATATACGTCAACTATATGACAGTATGTTAGAATGTGTGGCCATCAACACAATGCGACTGTTATCCCGTCATGCTAGAATGTGGGCCTACAACACAAAGAGATTGTTATCCCGTCATATTAGCATGTTTCAGCTTCATGAAAGACGATAGCCCCATCAACACAGTGCCTGATTCAGCCTCTTGGCATATGACTATGCTGCATATACGTGGTCGGGCAGGTGACCCCATACTTTTTTACGTTCAATTGGGGAATCAAACCCGGACCGCCTTGGCGAAAGGCTAGTGCGTAATACACTGCGCCACACACACATCCATCTTATAATTAACGGAGTGTGTACATTGTAAGTGGGATGGATGGTACTTGTATAATAGTAATAACATTGGTTTAGTTTTGTTGGGGTTTTCAATATAACGTCCCCGTACATTTTGTATGAAGACGTGTGCCTTGGGAGACAGCGGAAAAAGAAGGAATAGACAGAAGATCTAGAGACGAGAAAAGATAGAGATCAAAAGTGTTGCTATGGAAACAGCCGATGAAACAGGAACGGAATGCAATTGTATATAGTATTACAGGTATGGGACCTTACCTGGTTCTGTAACTAACACAGCAGTTTTATAACAGGTTTAACCTCAACATGTACATAAGTGTACATCACAGAATTATGTAATAGCGACATTGCGCCATAAATCACAGATTAATTAAAAATTTAACGTATGCAAAAATAGTGCAACAGCTAGGCAGCCCATGCATTGTACCAGTACTGTTCTTATGTCAGGTAAATGTTGTGTACTGTTTCATAGGACACACCTGATCCTTGTTGATGCCATATCAAGAAAAGATACGATTTTACGAGGAAAGAAAATCTCTTGATATGATAAACGGAAATACAAATTGGTAAATAGCATGGAGGAATGTGAAGTACCCCGCACGTGCAGGTTGACAGGACGTGTGGGTAACACGTGATACAGGTAGGAGGTGTACCTTAAATTCCGGAAATGAGTATTTCCCAGAATATTGCAAAATAAAATCATTCTACTAAATGACCTAACCGCAAATTCCTGTGAAGTTTAGGTTTCCTAGCTAAAACCGGTTTATACAACAGATCTGAGGCCCTGGTGTAACTATCAGCAGTCATGTTTTCTCCTTTTATTACACAGAAGGTTGATCTTTAGTAGTAAATCTCACAACTAGGCGGTACACACAAAATATTCAGGTCAAAATAAAAATCTTATTCTATTTATATATTGTATGTGGAATTCAATATTCTTTAGTTGTAAAATTTCAATCAGAACAAGGTCATAATAAAGGGTTTCATTAACCGTAAACTCTTAATTTAGTGTCGAGTTTCATCTTTTCAATTGTTTTGTTATTAATTTAGTTTATCAGTTTATAACAATTTCACATGACCTTCATTATTTACGTGGACACGAAACGTTGCGTTTAGTCCTTACTTGCCGAGTTAAAAGTACACTGATGCCCCGTAACTTTGCACGCTCAAAATATTTTAAAGACAATATAATCATCCATTATTTCATTATGGATGATAACATATCTAGTCAGGAGAATGGCTGCCATATGTGATAAATGTGTGTGACGTATAGGGGTCAATGACATATTGGAATAAGAAACATTTACAGGAAAACACACTTCCGCGAATATCTTTTTTTTTTTTATAATTTTCAATAAAATTTCATTCTCGTCCTTCCCATAAAACTCAAATACAGGCATACGTGCAAACAATAGATAAAACAAATCTACTTTATATTATGAAATTGAATGTAACTTAAAATTTATCAATTCATTTCAATTCAGTTTTATCCTCTTTACAATTCAAAATATAGAGAAACATATTTACAAGATAATTTACAAAATTATGCAAACAAAATGAAGTACGGGGTGTTTTTGTGATAAGAAAACTTGTTAAAGAAAAGCACATGTTGCTTTGATGCATAAATCCAAAATAACATCTCAAATTCATAATAAATTATATATACAATGTAGATATGAATGGCTGTTTAATGAAAAAATGCTCCAATCATTTCTAAATTGAGAGGAGAAATATGTGTGTTGGTACCCAATATTTTACAAAATTATTTACAAAACCACACGATTTCGTATATTAGACGATGAAGGAGTGGGAACCACGGGAGATATCCCATAGCATGTAATTTAGGTGATTAAACCGCATACATAGACATAGAATTTCCTGCTTAAAATCCTGTGTAGGTAATATTCAAAGTCATATAATTAAAGAACAATTAGGTCGAATAGTTCGTTGACCTGTATCTATAGTCTTTATCACTCTACCATGTAAAACACATTAATGTACTTACTGTTGTAAACGGAGCACAGAAACAATACTATATTTATCCCTCCACGTGCTCAGGTGTTAATTAATGGTCGTACAGGTGTTAATGGCCTTCAGACAGTTTCTGCTCACGTATTCTCGTTTGAGCGTTACACGGTGTAAGTTTGAATTTTTGTCAGACACATCGATGTCAAGTACTGACACAGTGTCATAATTCAATTGGGTTTTAAAGTCTGTGATGTATAGAGTTTGTCTCTTACGTGTTAACTATGTCTTTAATTCAGTAAAATTGCTTTGATTTTCCAGGTAAATACATTTAAAGTGCCAGATAAACGCACGTAGCTTTACAAATATTTCCAAACGGAAGCATTCAAAGAGACTTCTCTCATACAGCGTCGACCACCCGTAACACCAAGTAAATAGCCGTTTTGTTTACTTTAAAAATCTTCTGAATTTTTTGCTGGAGATATGTGCTTTTAGTAGGCGGTGCTGGCGCTACAGGAATGTCAACAAACGCCAGGTATACGGTATTTGCACAATCTCAGCGCATCAGCTTCATTTTGACACATCTAGGCAAGGTTTCAATTAAGGATATTTTCTTAATTGTCAAAAATGACAACAAAACTGATACAATATAGAATTCAAAATGATCAGTATTAAAAAATGTCACAAGCTACTGTTCTTCGAAAGAAAATGTCCAGAGAATTTGAATTAAAAGATAAATAAAACGGTGTATTTAAGCTACAGATGCTCGGTATGCGTTGATTACATTAACACAGGAGCAGACGACGAGATTGAGTAGAGGGGGGTAATTAT